GTTGCTCACATATTCGTTACATAGTATCCTCAACATCCTTCTGTAGAAACTTCAGATATCTCTTCCTGATGTTAAGTATAAGACTCCTTTTTTGTTTCCATTTCTTCTAAAACCTCGTCGTTGCTCACATATTCGTTCCATGGTATCCTCAACATCCTTCTGTAGAAACTTCAGCTGTCTCTTCCTGATGTTAAGTATAAGACTCCTTTTTGTTTCCATTTCTTCTAAAACCTCGTCGTTGCTCACATATTCGTTCCATGGTATCCTCAACATCCTTCTGTAGAAACTTCAGCTGTCTCTTCCTGATGTTAAGTATAAGACTCCTTTTTGTTTCCATTTCTTCTAAAACCTCGTCGTTGCTCACATATTCGTTCCATGGTATCCTCAACATCCTTCTGTAGAAACTTCAGCTGTCTCTTCCTGATGTTAAGTATAAGACTCCTTTTTGTTTCCATTTCTTCTAAAAACCTCGTCGTTGCTCACATATTCGTTCCATGGTATCCTCAACATCCTTCTGTAGAAACTTCAGCTGTCTCTTCCTGATGTTAAGTATAAGACTCCTTTTTTGTTTCCATTTCTTCTAAAACCTCGTCGTTGCTCACATATTCGTTCCATGGTATCCTCAACATCCTTCTGTAGAAACTTCCAGCTGTCTCTTCCTGAGGTTAAGTATAAGACTCCTTTTGTTTCCATTTCTTCTAAAACCTCGTCGTTGCTCACATATTCGTTCCATGGTATCCTCAACATCCTTCTGTAGAAACTTCAGCTGTCTCTTCCTGATGTTAAGTATAAGACTCCTTTTTGTTTCCATTTCTTCTAAAACCTCGTCGTTGCTCACATATTCGTTCCATGGTATCCTCAACATCCTTCTGTAGAAACTTCAGCTGTCTCTTCCTGATGTTAAGTATAAGACTCCTTTTTTGTTTCCATTTCTTCTAAAACCTCGTCGTTGCTCACATATTCGTTCCATGGTATCCTCAACATCCTTCTGTAGAAACTTCAGCTGTCTCTTCCTGAGGTTAAGTATAAGACTCCTTTTTTGTTTCCATTTCTTCTAAAACCTCGTCGTTGCTCACATATTCGTTCCATGGTATCCTCAACATCCTTCTGTAGAAACTTCAGCTGTCTCTTCCTGATGTTAAGTATAAGACTCCTTTTTGTTTCCATTTCTTCTAAAACCTCGTCGTTGCTCACATATTCGTTCCATGGTATCCTCAACATCCTTCTGTAGAAACTTCAGCTGTCTCTTCCTGAGGTTAAGTATAAGACTCCTTTTTGTTTCCATTTCTTCTAAAACCTCGTCGTTGCTCACATATTCGTTCCATGGTATCCTCAACATCCTTCTGTAGAAACTTCAGCTGTCTCTTCCTGATAAGTATAAGACTCCTTTTTGTTTCCATTTCTTCTAAAACCTCGTCGTTGCTCACATATTCGTTCCATGGTATCCTCAACATCCTTCTGTAGAAACTTCAGCTGTCTCTTCCTGAGGGTTAAGTATAAGACTCCTTTTTTGTTTCCATTTCTTCTAAAACCTCGTCGTTGCTCACATATTCGTTCCATGGTATCCTCAACATCCTTCTGTAGAAACTTCAGCTGTCTCTTCCTGATGTTAAGTATAAGACTCCTTTTTTGTTTCCATTTCTTCCTAAAACCTCGTCGTTGCTCACATATTCGTTCCATGGTATCCTCAACATCCTTCTGTAGAAACTTCAGCTGTCTCTTCCTGAGGTTAAGTATAAGACTCCTTTTTTGTTTCCATTTCTTCTAAAACCTCGTCGTTGCTCACATATTCGTTCCATGGTATCCTCAACATCCTTCTGTAGAAACTTCAGCTGTCTCTTCCTGAGGTTAAGTATAAGACTCCTTTTTGTTTCCATTTCTTCTAAAACCTCGTCGTTGCTCACATATTCGTTCCATGGTATCCTCAACATCCTTCTGTAGAAACTTCAGCTGTCTCTTCCTGATGTTAAGTATAAGACTCCTTTTTTGTTTCCATTTCTTCTAAAACCTCGTCGTTGCTCACATATTCGTTCCATGGTATCCTCAACATCCTTCTGTAGAAACTTCAGCTGTCTCTTCCTGAGGTTAAGTATAAGACTCCTTTTTTGTTTCCATTTCTTCTAAAACCTCGTCGTTGCTCACATATTCGTTCCATGGTATCCTCAACATCCTTCTGTAGAACACCATTTCTGTTGCTTCATCTGTGTAGTGATGTTGCAGAGTCTACTGCCATATGGGTAGACTGATAAAGTTTTTCCCGTTTCTTTATACTTTGCTTAGCTTTTGGAAGGTATCTTTTGCAATCCCAATGCGCCTTCGGATTTCGGTATGACCCTTTGTGACCTCTGCTAAAACACTTCCCAAATATTTAAATTGTTGTTCTTGCTTCATTTTGGCATCTTCAATTTGTAATTTACATGTTGGGCTGTTCCCTTTGCCTTTCAATTGATGTTTAGGTCTTCTCGCTTTGGCTCTCCACAACTTCCTGTCCCTTGTAGCTTATTCCACCATCCATCTAGGTAGGACATACGTTGTTTTCCCCACGTCCCTCTTGCCTGCGATGTGCCCTGTGAGTATTAAATTTTCAAAGCCTTCTTTTCTCATTATGCGCCCTAAAGATTTCAACTGTCTCTTCCTGATACTAAGTATAAGTGTTCTTTTTGTTTCCATTTTCTTTAAAAATTCCTCGTTGCTCACATGTTCGGTCCATGGTATTCTCAGAATCCTTCTGTAGAACCACATTTCTGTGGCTTCAAGTCTCTTCTTCATCTGTGAGGATACTGTCCAGCATCCACTTCCATGCAGAAGGACTGATATTACATAACAGTCCCGTCCCCCTTTTGTTTCTAACGAAGTTTTTCTGTCTCCTTATACTCTGCTTAGCTTTTGTAAGGCATCTTTCGCTATTCCAATGCGCCTTCGGATTTCAGTGTTGCACTTTCCGTCGTCTGTTGAAACTCTTCCCAGATATTTATCTTCTCGCTTTCATCAACTACCTTCTGTAGGAGTTCTTGTGGTACCCTCTCAGTGTCTGCTATCAACAATGTGTCATCTGCATATTCAAGATTATGACCGCCATTATTAAATCCTGGCAGCACATCTGATTCTCTCAGATTCGCCTCACTGTATAGAGTAAAAAAAGTCTGGTGAGACGGCACATGCTTGTCTTACACCAGTTTCTATATTTACTGAATTTCATTTTTTTTATCTGTATGAAGGCGATTTGTTGCTAGTATATATAGTGGATTATTCTAATATCATTCACAAACATATTAAGGTTGTCTAGCAGTCCCAAGAACAGATTTGTAATGGACGAAGAAATGGAATTTAAGGTTTTCAAAAGGAATAAATGTCAACACGCGAAGGAATTTTACAAATAGATTTTTACATAAAGACTAAGGAAATAGATAAAATATACTTGTGTTTACACAGATAAGTGAAAAGGAATAAAACATAGATAAGTTTTGCTATTAGGATTTCCCCAGTGGCGAGGAAAACGCTTCCTCTACCTACAGCATTATAAAGAAAAAAAGAGAAAGCAGGAGCTTATATCCATACTTTTATAGGATTAGCAAACCAGTTGGGGGGTAATATATCACAGATTTAAACATGAGTGTCATGTTTAGCATGCTAACGTTCTGCCCACTCGGCTATGCGTTTACTAACAATAAAAGAAAATGTTGCATGGACAAGAAAAAAACTGACCATTAACAATTTGTCGTTTTCTTCTAAGTTTTTGTTTATGCTAAGCCAGAATTGGAAATAAATACGTAAATTTGAAGCCGGGTCGAAGACGCAAAAAAAAATTTCCCCTCAGAATGAGAAATAAAAAAAATGGAAGTAAATAAAGAAAAAAAAATAAATAAAGAAAATGTTTTCCAAGTCATCACTTTGTCGGTGTGGGCTGACGAGAGATGGGTAAACGCCAGACAAGTTGATCGTCTTAATTAGAGCGTCTCTAAATGAAACTTCGTCCCTATGGTGAAGATAAAGAGAAAATATTTCTTTTTCTCGGTTTGTTAGTGAGTGATTTGTGGCTATATTTTTTGTACAATGTGTCTGGTATGTAAATGAAGAAAGAGAAAGCAAAAGTGTTTTGAAATTGGAAAGGCAGAGACAAGATGGTGGAAAGAAGTGAAGAAGGGAAAAACGAAAGTATTGGGGAAGAACTGATAGAATTTGAATAAAAACACAGGAAAGAAATGAAGATAAGAAGGGAGAAAAGAGGAAGAAGAGGAGAGAAAAGAGGAAGAACGGCAAGTAAGAGAGGGGGGAAGAGGAAGAAGAGGAAGAGGAGAGAAAAGAGGAAGAACGGCAAGTAAGAGAGGGGGGAAAGAGGAAGAAGAGGAAAAAGAGGGAGAAAAGAGGAAAATCGGCAAAGACGAAGAACGGCAAGGAAAAAGAGGCAGAAAAGACGAAGAAAGGCAAGGAAAAAGAGGCAAGGAAAAAGACGAAGAAAGGAAAGGGAAAAAGAGGCAAGGAAAAAGACGAAGAAAGGAAAGGGAAAAGAGGCAAGGAAAAAGACGAAGAAAGGCAAGGAAAAAGAGGCAAGGAAAAAGACGAAGAAAGGCAAGGAAAAAGAGGCAAGGAAAAAGACGAAGAAAGGCAAGGAAAAAGAGGCAAGGAAAAAGACGAAGAAAGGCAAGGAAAAAGGGGCAAGGAAAAAGACGAAGAAAGGCAAGGAAAAAGAGGCAAGGAAAAAGACGAAGAAAGGCAAGGAAAAAGAGGCAAGGAAACAGACGAAGAAAGGCAAGGAAAAAGAGGCAAGGAAAAAGACGAAGAAAGGCAAGGAAAAAGAGGCAAGGAAAAAGACGAAGAAAGGCAAGGAAAAAGAGGCAGAAAAGACGAAGTAAAGAGGAAGAAAGGCAAGGAAAAGAGGGAGAAAGGCAAAGAAAAGAGGGAGAAAAGAGGAAGAACGGCAAAAGAGGAAAAATGGCAAAGTAAAGAGAAAAAAACGGCAATGAAAAGAGGGAGAAAAGGAAACAAAAATCAGGATAAAATTAAGAACAGAAGGCGAAAGAGAGAAAAGGAAAAAGAAACGAAATCGAAAAAGAAAAGAGAATGAGAAAAGCAAAGAAAGCGAAAGAGAAAAAGAAGGAGGCAAAAAAAAAGAAGGTAATATCATAGGAGGAGGATAAAAAAGAGAAAGAATAAAAAAGGGAAAATAAAAGAAAGCGGGCACAAGTCAAAGACGAAAGTAAAGAGTAAAGAAAAAAGAAAAATGGAATGAAGAAAAACGCAGTTATAATAAAAGGGAGAAAGAGAAGAATACACATTAAAGAAAGAGTATAAACGAAAAAGAACGCAAGGTGGGTGAAGTGAATGAAATGTAAGGAAGGAAAGAAGGAATAATGATCAAAGAAAAAGATGAAATGAGGAGGAAGGAAGAGAGAGAAAAGAGAAAAAGAGAAGGAAGAAAGAATAAAGAAAGAAAAGAGAAAAAGGCAAAGGAATAAAAATAATAGGACGGGAAAGAAAAAGAACTGAAAAGAAAGGAAATTAAATATGTAGGAATTTGATTCAATTTTGTTTAGTGGCATATCAACACCTCTATGGGTTATTTAATGCCGAAATCTAAATATTTCGAACACAAGTGTATGCCTTCAACTGAATATAATTTTGCAATTAAGTATATGTCTTCAATTACAGATAATATTTATTGTTTTTCCTTTTTTTTTTATATAAAAAAATATTAATAGTTTAGGGATACAAACGACGATTGTCTCCCTTTCGTTGAGATAGGTGATGGACGGCGAATTAATAACGATGGCCAGTTGCGATGTAGAACACAGAGAAAACAGGACTTCCTAGCCCACTGCCGTAGATCTTACAGAAAATCACATGGCCTAATCTGGTACAAAGAGAAAATGCCTTAACTTCAATTTTCCCTTCGGGAAATATTACAAGTAAAGTTCCCCTCTTTTACACACCGTTTGTTGTTGCATATATGTTATAATTTCTCTGCGTGATACACGTGTATATATATAATTTTGTTTCTCTTACGAAAAATAGTTGAAGAAAAAAAATGATTGCATCTTTTTTTGTTTCAATGGATGACTTTTCAAGTCCATAGAACTCAGAAAATGGGTTTCATTCACCAAAATATTTACGTGCGATACAAGAGAGGTAAATCAATGTTTGAAACGCTACACTGGATTTTATAATACCCATAATGAGAGAATATATCTTTATTCCACAGCAACCTCCCGTTATATTAGTGACCACAAAGCGATATTATTACCACATATTAACTGTTGAACACTACGCGATATAAATAGACAAGCAAATATTAAATTTTCATTTCTCGCTCAACACAATGTTGACAACAGGATAAAACGTACGTAACGTTTTCCACAGAAACGAGCCTCTGGGATACATTTCAGCAATGGTAAAGCGATAGATAACACGTGGAAATTTTTGGAAAAAAAATACCTACATACAGTGGTGACCACGACGTGATGTTGTTGCGTATTTGTGTGATGTGTTCGAGAGGAATTATCAAAAGTTTTAAAATTGTGTGTGTTCAATAATCTTCCATCCACAACAATTAATACAAGATAGAGAAATAATGATTTATAAACATCTGGTTTCAAAACGTAACAATTGAATTTATTAGTGTTTGATATACATGCATGAATACTGAGTGAAAAGGTTAGACAGAGTTGTGTCTCTTAGATTAGGTAATATTTGTACCTAAGTTCATAAAGTGAAATTAATTATTAAACTGTAGTTTAGAAGAATAAATTTTTTTTAGCATGTTCAGAATTATGTATTGTACAAGTTGGGAAAAGTTCAGAAGAGATTTCAGAGTTCGTACTTGCGTGAATGTCGGTAATGGTCTTTAACGTCTGATCGCGATGGTTAAGACGGGAGTTCTTGAAGATTACATCTTGTTACTTAGTAGCAAGGAATGAGACGCGAGAGAGAGATGAATGAAAAGAAACTCGAGGGAGTTTCCATGTGTTCTGTATTTATAAGGTCGTGTATCATGTGAGAGGCTCAGATGGAAAATGCGGTTAAACAGATTTGTCGCGTGCAGGCGGTTTGATTGGTCGGAACTGACCAATCAGCGAGCTAGATTGAAAGTGATTGACTAATGAATGCTTGTTAATATTTGCAAGATTGTGATGGTGAAAATTATAACAGGAATAGTGCATTTTCTAGCAGGGGTTAATTAGCTTGTTGTGGAAGAGTCCACAATATTATCTAGCCGACATCTAAGATTATTTTATTTCCATTACTGGTATTTTTACTATACAAATGTAATTTTATATTTTCATAGTGTTTTGTTTGGGGATTCACTATTTGCCCGAAACTGTGACCCGTAACTGGTACTACCACACCATGTCAATGTGGAACTGGGGACAGTAGCAATTAAAAGGTGGTCCCACGCTTCTCAAAACTTCCAATCTCCCAATCAGAGGCCTTGCTGCCGAATGTAGTTCATCATCATACCCAGGACTAAGAAAACAAGGAGAGAAAGAAAAAGATTGAAAAAAATTATTCAGTATGTATATCAAATATTTTAAACGAATAATAATATCTACCCCTCTATCTTTATTTGCTGTGTATCTTCAAGGGCGTAGGCGATCATGTCTCTCAGCAATTTCCTCTCTTTTGAAGCTCTTAATAAACATTGGGTTTTTTTTTCTATTTTTCCTTATCGTCTATTTACTCAGACTCGTTCTTCTATGTGCCACAGCCCTTCGGGGCGTAGATGATTATGGCTCTCCATAATCTCTTCTCCTTTGAAGCTCTTAATGAATATTAATTTTGCGCTATTTCTCCTAAAAAAAAAATCATTTCCCTGGTAGACTGTAAAAGGTACCTAGAGCAGTTCTTATTTGAGAATTACAAAAACATATCTGATATGATTTAAAGCATTACAAAGTCGAACGAACCATCAATAAGTACAAGCGTCCTATTTGTCTTCATTTTCCTTAAAAACCTTCTCGTTACTCACATGTTCAGTCCATTTTCAGGTATACTTCTGTAGAAGGACTTTTCAGTCGCCTCAAGTCTCTTCTTCATCTGTGAGGAGATTGTCAAGCATTCACAGTCATAAGTTTGATATTGCATAACAGATTAGAAATCTTTTTATTGTTTCTAACGAAATTTTCTTATTTCTTAAAACTTTGCTTAGCTTCTGGAAGGCATCTTTCGCTATAGCAATGCGCCTTCGGATTCCGGTGTCACCTTTTCCGTCTTCTTTTAAAACACTTTGCATACAGATTTTCGTACTTGCTTGATGTTCCTCTTGCTGACAGACACACGTTCAGTTTTACAATTGACATTTAGTCTTTCTATCGCTTTGCCATTGCTGAAATGTATCCTAGCGGCTCGTTTCTGTGGAAAACGTTACGTACGTTTTATCCTGTTGTCAACATTGTGTTGATCGAGAAATGAACATTTAATATTTGCTTGTCTATTGATGACTCTTTTCTTTACTACCTTATCGATGAGTTCCTAAAGAGAAATACAGAACGATATATACGTCTGTTTTGTAGATCATGCGAAGGTGTTCAATAAGACACGACGCAAAGAACTATTCCAACTGCCAGGAAAGCTTTATCTATTTAGAAATGGTGCCGGAAGAACTCGGAACTTATACTGGGAGCAGACTGCCTGGAGACGGATAGAAAACGAATTCAGTGAATGCACAAGAATAGAAAAGGGCGTAAGACAAGGACATGTCTTCTCACAAGATTTGTACAGCCTTTACAGCTAGAGAATTAGAAGTCCTGTCAGGATTTATAATTGATAGAGAATCTCCACGACATAAGATATGCAGATGACACACTGGTTTTATTGGACTGATATTGCGAGCAATTTGGAAGTCTTAAAGAAAATAAGGATGACAGATGAAATTTTTTGGGACATATAGAAGTCATCATCAAATCGAGAATTCTTCCGGGATTCTCCTGGTTCGTTCCTTCCAACTATCTCTGTCAGACATCGCCAAGTCCTCCAGATGGCATCCAAAGTCATGTACAAGTTGGTCAATGTAGGTGCGATGAGGTCTTCCAACCGATGTTTTGTTGCGCGTTTGGTTCCATAGGAGGGTATCATCCACAAGTTTTGATTTAATTTTCCAGGAGTGACTAGCTAGCCGAAGCCTTCTTTCTCTTAGCGAAAAGGAGATAGGACGAAGGTGTCCATACAGCAGTTTCTTTGTTGGGCTTTTCTCTCAGCTGATGTCCAATGCAACTCGTAGCATCCTTGTGTAGGTGCCGTCAAGTGCTGCTTCTTGGAGTTTCGTCAGTGTTTATGCTCTTGAGGTTCAGAGCAAGACAAATTCTACTATGGCCTTAAAGAAGTCCCTCTTAAGATTGTCAGAGAGGGGGGAATTCAAGATGGTGCTCAGATAATCAAAGACACGGAAAGTAGTAGTCTTGCTCAGACTTTAACACTCAGAGTAACAGAAGAAGCGAGGAAACATTGAGTAGCCATAAAAGACAAGTAGAAAGAAAGATGGTAATGGTAAAAAAAAAAAAAAGAAATTGTGGAGGACCATATTTATTTACGTCTTGAATGGACTTGGCAAATAAAAGAATTTATTAGATTCTAAAAGTTTCGAACATTTTTATTAAAGAACTATGAGAATAGTCTGAGTTTTACTCAACTTTTTATTGATTTTTTTTTTACATTCAACAATAGTCGGTCGTTTTCAAATCTGAGGAAAGATTATCAAGCGAAGAAAATTGGTTTACTCTGAAATTATAAAAATGAACTTCGATCAGCGTTTGAATAGTGGTTTTTCTCATTTGATTGGGTACAGGAAAAAATATGTGTTGGGAAAAGAAAGTCTAAAACGAAGAGGACAGGAAGAAGATAAAAAAAAAGAACTAAAAATTAGGCGAGCCCAGAGAAGAAAAAAAAAAAGAAAAGAAAAGAAAAGGAAGGAAAAAAAAAGAAAGAAAACGGGAAGGAAGGAAAAAAAAAAGAAAGAAAACGGGAAGGAAGGAAAAAAAAAAGAAAGAAAACGGGAAGGAAGGAAAAAAAAGAAAGAAAACGGGAGGAAGGAAAAAAAAAAAAAGAAAACGGAAGGAAGGAAAAAAAAAAAAAAAAAGAAAACGGGAAGGAAGGAAAAAAAAAAAAGAAAAAAAGAAAACGGAAGGAAAAAAAAAAAAAAAAGAAAAAAACAGGAAGGAAGGAAAAAAAAAGAAAACGGGAAGGAAGGAAAAAAAAGAAAGAAAACGGGAAGGAAGGAAAAAAAATAAAGAAAACGGGAAGGAAGGAAAAAAAGTAAGAAAACGGGAAGGAAGGAAAAAAAGTAAGAAAACGGGAAGGAAGGAAAAAAAGAAAAGAAAGAAAACAGGAAGGAAGGAAAAAAAGAAAGAAAACGGGAAGGAAAAGACTAAGAAAAGAAAGGAATAGGAAAAAAAGTGCATGGTAAACAATAAGAAAATCCGCATAAAAATGAAGAAAAGAGAGAGTGAGAGAGTGAGTGTAAGAGTGAGAGAGTGAGTGAAAGAGAGAGAGAGAGAAAGAGTGAGAGAGTGAGTGAAAGAGTGAGAGAGTGAGTGAAAGAGAGAGAGTTAGTGAGAGAGTGAGAGAGTGAAAGAGAGTTAGTGAGAGAGTGAGAGAGTGAAAGAGAGTTAGTGAGAGAGTGAGAGAGAGTTAGTGAAAGAGAGAGAGAGAGAGTGAGAGAAAGAGAGAGAAAAAAAGAAAACGATGGAAAAAACTAAGAAATTGTTGAGAAAAAAAAAATCAGAAAGTGGAAACGATAAAGGGGAGAAAAAAATGAAAACGAAAAAACTGAGAAAAAAAATAAAACGAGAAGAAAACAAATAAAACTACCATAAAAGCCGAGGGAGAAAAAAACTGATAAAACCGACAGAAAAAAAGAGAAAGAAACGGAAGAAACGTAGAGCGAGAAGAGAAACATTTTTAAGTGATTCTGCTAGTGATTGGAGCACTCAGTTCGAGTTTAAAGAATATGTCGACCGACTTGGTGTAAGATTCTGAGGTCCTCTTGTTGTGATTTGACAATCAGTACCTTCCCTGCTACTCAAGGCATCTACACGACAGCAGCATCTTGATACATTTAGAAAAGGAAAAGGAAAGAACTAGGATCATCAACCACTTACAGTATTGGAAAATGAGAGTGTACTGCTGCTCTCGGGATTCACCATGCGATGTGATGGAAGTAAGCAGGTCAGACATTATGACGGCCCAGAAAGAAAACACTCAGATCAGGATCAATAATATTGCTGACTCTTCTTTGGATTTTATCAAGGAGCTCAAGGTAAATAGCAGGGTCATACATAACAGAAATATTCTAAGCATGGGCGAATGGTAGACTTATAGATAGACTGTGCAGAGATAATTTGTCTGGCACGACACAGTGAACCAATTTTCTTAGTAGCTGACCTAAATGGAAAATGTCATGGTTTATTAAGACTACTGTTTTACCAATGATAATTAGATCCCTGGGTACGATAAAAAAAAATGGTACATTCAAGAACATTAACAAGATAATTGGTTGCCCACAAAGGATTAAAACAATTGCAATGTATGAAACTGCTCATCTACTCAAGAAAGTATTACCAAAGTAAAGACAACATAAACAAAGTATTTATAAATACAAATGACAATAGGAAGACTGTAGTTATCGCTGATGCATTTCGTCCAATGTAGACTTTCTCAAAGCAAAAAAAAAACGAAATGAATTTAATTAAAGAACGTAACTAATAATAACACAAAACAGAATGTTCTTAGCAACTGGAGGAATGTAGAGAACGGTATTTTCATATTATTAACTGAAAATAAAGTCAGTTATTGTTACATGTCGAGAATATTGTCATTATAACTGTATTGGCGGATTCAACCATTTCCTTTTGGTTTTACGATATTGTTGTGTACGCTTGTTTGGGAGAGCAGTAATTTTGTTAAGAAAGGTGAAATAGGGAAAAGCCTGGGCGTAGATTAATATTTGGGTAATATTCTATGGCGGCACTCTCTAGAATTTTCCTTCTGAGTGAATTATTTTCTTTTTTTTTATGAGTGTAGCATTTTTAAAATCAAAATTATGGTTGAATTTATTTCTATGCATGACTAGTGCATTAGATAAGTTGTTTTTTGTGAGGCCTCTTTTGTGCTCATAAATCTTTTTTTTTAAATTTCTACTTGTTTTCCAATATATTGGGAGGAACAGTTTTGGCAATTTATTTTATAAATGCCTGTTTCAGAAATATTATTGCTATTAGTGTTTGAAGATCTTAGTATATCCATAATGATTTTGGAAGTCTTTGTAACTATTCTAAGATTATATAGATGGGATAGGTTGTTCTGGATAGGGGACGGGATAGGTTGTTCTGGATAGGGGACGTGACAGAGTTGGTCAGTAGTATTATGTATCTGTTTTCATGTGATTTATTATTGCGGATTATGTTATTAGTTTTGTTTTGTTTGTATATACTGTATGCCTTTCTTCTTGCGTTGTGGATGAAATGATATGGGTATTGTAGTTTTTTGAATGTGTTTTCTATGTATGTTTCTTCTTTAAGTAAATATTGGGGACTACAGATTCTTAATGCTCTTAGATAGAAACCTACAATAATTCCATATTTAATTTTAGAAGAGTGGTTTGAGTAGAAACTAATCAGATCATTTGTGTTTGTAGCTTTTCTGTAAACGTCAAAATTGAGTTCGTTATTATTTCTAATTAACAAAATATCCAGGAACGGAAGAGTGTAGTTGGTTTCAGTTTCGAAAGTGAAGTTTATTGTAGGTTCAACGTTGTTAAGTTTGGAGAGAAGATCCGTTAAATTGGTGTTTTTTGGAAATATTAATAATGAGTCGTCTATGTATCTGAAATATGAAGAGTTTGCAGGAGAATATTTTTGAATGAGTCACTTTCTAGAAATTCTAAAATACGCAAGAACGCCGCTGAGAGGAGATCCCATTGGTAAACCAAATTTCTGTCTGTAATGTTGGTTATTAAAAGTAAAAAATATTGCTTATAAATTAGTTGGCATATTTTAATGATTTTAGGATATAGATAGAGGTAATTTAATTTTGCATTTGTTAGTCTGTTTTTTAGTAGATTTAAGCATTTCTCTATGGGGATGTTTGTATATATAGATTTTATATCTAAACTATATATATTTGTTTTTAATGTCTATGTTTTTTAATTTGTTTAGGAGGTCGCCTGAATTTTTTCGTGTGTGATGGACTTCATAGTGCCGAGAAGTGGAGTTAAAATTCCGTGGTTTGCGGGCTATTTTATGTGGGCGACTGCCTATCCCTGATATGATAGACTCTCATTGGTATGTTCAGTTTATGCGTTTTTGGTAATCCATATAATATGGGTGTTTTTTAGATGGTATTCAACTATTTAACCAGGAGAAGTTTCATTTTAGTAGTTTTTTGATGTTGCTTGTAAACTTTTTTTGTTTATATTTATAGATTTGTTTTCATTTACTTTTTCATAGATGTTATCATCGTCAATGAGCGCTCACACTTTTTGTTGATGAATGTATTTATCCATGATTACAATTCCCCCGCCCTTATCAGAAGTAGATATGTGAATGTTTTTGTTGTTAGCTAATTCTTTCAAGGCTTTGATGTATCTTCGAGGAAATGTGATATTGTTCGTATTATTATGTGTAGCTGTGATTAGGCCCTGAATGTAGCCTTTGGTGAAATCGGAGTCATTGTGGTGATGATTTTGATTATGTAATCCGTGGTATCATATTTCGGTAATCCAGTGGCAAATTTCTGACCAAAGCCGAGTGCTTCTAGTTCTGTATCCGATAGTTGGATTTTGGATAAATTTGTTATTAGGTCTTTTCTGCCGACATTGGACCATTTGCTATTATTAATGAGTTTGTTTAGTTTGTTTTGCAAAGCACAGATTTTCTTATTATATTTGACTGGTCTTTTTATTTCATTCCGTTCGTGTTTTTGTAGGTGAATTCCTGTCATATATGCCTTATGGTAAAGAATGGCTTCTTATGCCCATGAATTTTTGAAAAATTCAATACGGGAATTAGTCATTGTCCCGCAGTCCTACAATCAGCTGTGGTTGGTGAATTTGGTTACAGTGACTGTTATATTTTATTTAGCGTTGGTCATTTTGCTATAAAAATGTACCGTTCATTATTTGCCCATAGCTGGGGCCCTAATTGGTGCCTCCACCTCAGCTTGGACATTGGAACAACAGTAATTAAGTGGTGGTCCCAGGCTCCTCAAAACATACAATCTCATGATCAGGGGACTTGCTACAGGATTAATTTTGTTTATCACCATACCCAAGACGGGCTTATCTCTGGCGAGGACGATGACAAAACGAAAGGGAAAAGAAAGAGAAAGAAAAAGAAAGAAAGAAAGAGAGAGAAAAAGGAAAAGAAAAAGAAAGGAAAAGAAAAAGAAAGGAAAAGAAGACGACGACGACGACTAATAATAATAATAATAATAATAATAATAATAATAATAATAAAAGATACATAGGATTGGTTAGAGAAAGGCGCGCAGAAACGCCAGACTGAAGTCCTGAATACTAATTATGTCTGGATAAATCCAATAAGTGGATTCAAACAAGTGCAGGTTGTACGGTAAAGAGCTGATAAATGTCACCCACATCATTAGTGACTATGGGATACTTGCGCAGAAAGGATACGATAGTCGCCATGATAAATTGGACTCGTATTTTCATTGGTGCCTACCTAGAAAGTATAGAACATAGTACGACTACAAAACAGAAGGTGGTGAGAAAAATTGACTAAATCTAAATCTTGTGCGATTTCAATATCTAAACAGATTGGAACCCTGAGGCCACCAAACCAAACATCACCGACGTTTGAAAAAAGAAAAGAAAAGAAAATGCCTCGTTGTCAATCTGGATGTTCGTGGTAGCCATAATATCAAGGTTAAAGAAACTGAAGAGCACTAACCTCTGAGCTGAGGTTGCTAGAGTTTAGTATGTTCAGGCCGCCATTTTCCCAGTTCTCAGTGGGGCGTTGGGGTCTATACTAAAAAAAAAACAACCCCCCCCAAATCCTAGTATCTCACTGTTTCATAAATCTGCGTTTATTAGCTCAGCAAATATTGTACGAAAAGTCCTATTTGTTTGAGGCCGTACGATTTGATGGGGAACACTGAAGAATAGCGGTTGAAAACGAAGAATCGTTCGGAAGAAAAAATGATTATAATAATAAGAAGAAGAAGAATGATAAGAAAAGAACGAAGAGAAAACGAGAGAAAGGCTAAGAATAAGAAGAGAGAGAGAGAGAAAGTAGAGAAGAAGGGAAGAAAGAGAAAGATACAAAAAGAAGAAAACCAACGAAAGAGGAAGAAAATAAAAATATATGAAGATGAAGTAAGACATGAAGGAAAGATAAAAGGAAAGAGGAGGACGACGATAAAAGAAAAAAAACAAAACAAGAATATTATGAAGGAACTTGTCTATTTTTCTGTTTTGACTTGAATGAAGACTCCCTCAAGCAAACAACAAAAACACCGAATTTTCGGTGTCCAAAGATCAATGATGTCAGAAGTCAGAAGCAAATTGCACCGACAATGCCAACAATGAAACTTTTGGTTTAAAACAAAAAACAAAAAAACAAAAACAAAAAACAAAACACAAAGGAATAACAAAACAAAAACAGTTTTGTGTAAATTCAAAATGGCGTCGCGTTTGAGCGGAAAATGACGTTCGACTGTTATTGTTCAGCCATATTTCTTGGCGGGACATGGCTGGCTTGCCTCGCCACTTTTCATTCAAACACGGCCTTTTCTATTTTTATCGTATTTTCTTTGATTTAGTATTCAGCGTTGTTTATTTTTTTTAGGGAGGAGTTTGGTTGTTTCTCTTGATTATTTTCACAAAAGATTGCTGAAAAATAATCGTTAAAACAAATTTTATTTGAACAGAAATTCTCCAGGATGGAATACGTGTTTTGCAGCGAGGATTTGGTTATTATATTAATTAGGATTATTGACATCCGCGATGCAGGTAGTGCCGATAGTCGGAAGAAGACTAGGGATGTTAAAAACAAAACAAAAAAGATAGAATACAAAGAAACGTAATTTGTTTGTATGTCATCACTGCTTATTAGGCATTTTTATAATAGGGTGGTATTCAAGATTAAATAGATTGAGCGATTCATTTTTTATGATTTATCAACCCTTGTCAGGTTATTTAAAGCCAGAAAATATTTTTAGATAGTAAGAATTTTATTTCTAGATAATAATGGTTTAGTGGTATGTCTTACTGATTAACCCGTAGCTGGGGGAGAAGAGGTGGATTCGTATCTAATCAGAATTTCCTTAACAAGAAATAACGTACACTATTTACATTATTCGGACTATTGTCCGCATCTTTGTCGCCATGTTCATCACAACGTTTCGTCCGTTATAAGCTCCAGTCTTCTTCAGGTGGTGGGAATGTCGAACTGAACCCTTTACTTCGCTCACTGGGGTGGACTATTCTAGTTCCACGTGCAATGTCTAATGGATGTCAGTTATCTCCTGTTAATTTCCCTCTGAAAGTCCTCCTATTGCCTTAACCAGGTATTGAACTCACAACGCTTTGGGTCCTGTCACTGGATCTAACTAACGCCTTTATCCACTGTGCCATGTGTCCTTGAGGCGACAAAGATGAGGACAATAGTCCGAATAATGTAAATAGTGTACATAATACCTCATCTCAGAAATGTATAGACAGATACTGAAGGGCCAAGAAACGTTTTCTAAATATGGCAACAAAGATGAGGATAATAGTCTGAATAATGTAAAATAGTGTACATAATACCTCATCTCAGAAATATTTTTGATACTGAAGAAATAACGTGGATATAAAATGGGGGTTCAATTGTACACTACAATCAAAATAAAAATTGATCGCTCAATTTCTGTCCACGCTTTTTCCTATACATTTATATATTCTAGAGAGTGTAAATAATTCTAAAAGACATGCCTGCATAGCTAATCAGTATTTCATTGACAGATTCGTTTTATACAGTGTATCAACTCTTTGCATGGATAGATAACACTATGTCTGTTTACAGGGTGCGATGGATAAATTGTCATCTAAATTATGCAAAAATGAAAATTACACTGACATCTCATTTTAATAAATATATTTACCAAAGTTACACAAAATTATCTTGAAATGTTAAAGAGAAAATTTATTCAATAAAATCGCTATTGGCTTCAATTACGGCCTCCAGATGACTTTGGAATCTCCTGCAACTCTTTTGGGCGGTCTCCTTGTTTAAGTTGGTGAATGCTGCCATAATCCTTGTTTACAGTTCATCTTTGGTGTTACAAGGAGTTTTGTTCGTCTCTCGCTCAACTGCGTCCCACGTATAATAATCACGGGGGTTGTAGTCTGGGGAGTTAGGTGGCCATGTGTAAGGGGTGATGTAGTCTCAGAAATTGTCTGACAACCATGACTGGGTTCTCCTGCTTGTGCGGCATAGTGATGACTGCTATTGACAGATGTAAAGTCTTTAAGCAGCCACCCACTTGAGGGCAGCACTACCTCCCCAAGACACTTGACGTAGACCTCTGTAATGGTTCTGAGGTATGTGGGAAGGTGAATGAAGACATAACGTAGCCATCAATAGTGATCACTCTAAGCCTCTTCGTAATCACCATTTGACTCATCCAACTCTTTCCGAATCCTCTGCACTGTTCTTAGATTAACGCCCAAACACTCTGAAATGTTCATATCGGAGCTTCTGGTGTGAATGCCAAGAAGTACAGCAAGTCGTTTCCAAATTACTGACGGGGAGAATTGCATCATGTTGCTGTTTTTCTCACAGACGATGCCCAGCTGACCCTACTATATTGTGCAGTCGACAAATTCAAAAGGAAACCAAGCGCATGCGCAAAAGTAAAAATATAAAATGGCGAGAATTTACCCAAGTCACCCTGTATATCTATCCATCCATCTGTCGATAGATCTATCTTTAAAATGTGAATTGCAAAAAGGAAAAAAAAATCATATTGATGCTTGAATTTTTCTCCATGCAGTGATTGCAATTACATTTTCTCCCTGCGTCCCCATTTGCATGGCATCTCAGCTGTTTGCATCTTCTGATACAACAAACTTCTACTTTCTCGACGTCACTGGTTGATACTCGAGGGGCAACTCGTGCTGCACAAAGCAAAGGACGACGAGGCGGAATAAAAACAAACTTCGTGCGGAACGAAAATAGAATGGAAATTTGAGCAAATACCGGGATTTGCCAGACAATTAAAATATTGTGGAAATTATACTAATTGTACGAATCATGGGAAGAGCGCTTAATAGGATCCATACGTTTGACAGCCGTGTCTGCCTCCACAACCAGCATGATTTAAATTCCGCACACGCTCTCCATCGACCTGCCTCTGAATAATTTCTCTAACCATTGTCAGTGGACGATTTTACTTCATCACCATTCATATCCATATGTCTAATCATATCCGCTTATCATGCTCTCTCTCTCATATATATATATATATATATCAATTTCTCTCTCTCTCTCTATATATATATATATATATATATCAATTTCTCTCTCTCTCTCTCTATATATAAATATATATATTTTCTCTCTATATATATATATCTCTCTATATATATATAAATCTATATATTTCTCTCTCTCTATATATATATATCTATCTCTATATATATATATCTCTATATATATCTCTCTATATATATATTTCTATCTCTATATATATATATATATATAAATATTTCTCTCTCTATATATATATATATATATCTATCTATATATATATCTCTCTATATATATATATATATATCTCTATATATATATATCTATATCTCTCTCTCTCTCTATATATATATTCATCTATATCTATCTATATCTCTCTCTCTATATATATATATCTATCTATATATCTATCTATATATATATATATATATATCTATCTATATATCGATCCGATATATATATATATATTATATTCATCTATATATCCCTAGGAAGGCTTGATTCTCTATATCTATATCAGATATATAATTTATCTATATTATATATCTCCCTCTTTCTAAATTACAATATAAATATTCTGTCTTTTAAATAGCCTACACAAGTGTTGACAAACCGTAAAAACAGGTAATCAATCGATGATTCTGACAGAGAAAATAAATTCGTTTTTATTTTTCGAGCCAACGAAAAAAAATATGGTCGGTGATAATTTACGCTATGTGTATTTGAATCATGATCGTATATTTCAAAGGCTGTATTTATTAAACATTGAAGAGATGTAACACGAGTCTTCGTATTTAGATATATCTGATTGTAACTCAATTAGATCTCGTTTAAATGTAGATGTTAAAGATCGTCTGCACTTACTCGTTCTGTACAAATAAAATAGTCCATCATTAAAGAAAATAGTTAAAGTAATGGAAAAATTATTATCTAAATATATATTCTCTCTCTCTCTATATAACTATATATTTCACTCTCTCTCTATATCCGTGTTATAAAAAAATAATTCCTCTCTCTCTATATATATATAAAAGTAAAATTCTCTCTCTTGATAATATATATATATATCTATATCGGAATATATAACATTAAAATTAAAAATTTAATATATATCTTATATATATATATATATATATATATATATATCTATATCTATATATATATATATATATATATATATATATATATATCAATTTATATATCCATCTATATTTATTTCACAGAACCCTCTATATATATATTTCTCTCTCTCTATATATAATATATATATTGTAGAGAGACTGGTATATATATTTAATTTTATATCTCTCTATATCAATCGCCACTTATATTTCTCTCTCAAGTTAACGGAATATTGGGAGGAAGAAGAAAGAAAGAAAGAAAGAAGGGTAAATAAGAAAAAGAGGCTATAAATGGGTTTTTCTGAAGAGAGAGGGTAAGTTATATATATATGTATGTGTATGTCGCCATGATTATATATATATATATATATATATATATATATATATATATATATATATATATATATGGTGTGTCTCTCTCTCTATATATTTTTCTCTCTCCTTCCTGCTCTCTAGGGTATTCTATCTGTTACATATTTCATCTCCTCCTCCTATCTATCTCTCTATATATATATTTATCTTTCTTACATTTCTCTCTCTTCTAATTCTATATATATATATTTCTCTCTCTTCTATATCTCTCTCTCTCTATATATATTTCTCTATCTCTCTCTCTATATATATTTCTCTCTCTCTCTCTATATATATATTTCTCTCTCTCTCTCTATATATATATTTCTCTCTCTCTCTCTATATATATATATTTCTCTCTCTCTCTCTCTATATATATATATATTTCTCTCTCTCTCTATCTATATATATTTCTCTCTCTCTCTCTATATATATATATATCTATATATATATATCTCTCTCTCTCTATATTTTTCTCTCTCTCTTTCTCTATATTTTCTATCTCTCTCTCTCTCTATATATATATATATATATATATATATATATATATATATATATATCTATCCAGATATATCTATATATAAATCCATCTCTCTCTCTCTCTCTCTCTCTCTCTCATATATATATGCGTTTGTTTCTATCTGGATATTGAACCCATCTTTTCTTTCCGCATTATGCGCTGGTCGAATTTCTCTCCTTTCCGTCCCTCTCTACCGAGTTATAGATTCTGAAAGATCGATATCTGTGGATGATTTAATTTCTTTATCGCCTCATCCGTTCCAACCACTCCCTTACCCCTGATCGAAAACCGATCATTAGTCTGTCGTTTGCTTCAAATAACACACCTAGCCTAATCGCACCAAGAGATCGAAGCCTGGATGAAGATGGATAATCGACCGGCATCACATATAACTCAGGACTATCGAACAGCGTAAACTCGATCGGGTAATCATCAGTTACCAATCGGTATCGATCAGTGCTGATGAGGCAGGCCATTCAATGCTTGCCATGTTTGGTGGAAGCCTTGAAAAAAAAAAAAACACACACACAGACACAAACCCCTCCCCCAAAAAAACAAGAATTTGCATAAATAAAAAGAAATTGATTTGAAAGTACCATGTAGCCAAGCGTCAATAAGTGTTTTGGTTTGATTTGTTTGTTTAATGGCATACCAACTCCTTATGGGTCATTTAATGCTGAAATTCAAATTTTCTTCGCAGCTTAGAAGTATTAACCCATTAACTGTCAAATTTTTTAATGCGCCTTTTTTGCCCAGACAGGTGTCTTAGGAGTTTATTTATTCCTTATGTTTCATTTCAGTAGTTACCATTGTCTTTTTTTAATAGAAACTAGAACATCAAATATATATGTGTATAAAACATCCAAAAATAATATTGATTAGAAATAATTAAAAAAAAACTTTTCAAAATAGTCATTATTTTTCTACTCGTGAAATATAAAATTACGACAGAAAAAATGTCTTCTTACGGCTAATAATAAAAAACTTTAAAGGCTAAGTGTTGTAAAATATACCCCTGCAAATGAAATGTGTGTAAGCAATTCAATGTAAATACGAGGAATGGTATAGAGTGAGTTTAATTTTAACAGATCCCCAAATGGGGCTCATGGTAGGTAATGGGGTTAAAATATGTTATTTTGCTTTCACAATTGAATACATGGTAGATGATACTCAGCTTTTGTGTATATACATGTTTGTTTGGACATAATTACTAGAGGCAGTGATGTGTGTGTTTTATGTTGTAGTCTTGTTGAAGTTATATTTTGGAATACAGTCCAATTTAAGATTTTGCCCGATCCTATATAGATCAATATTAGAAAGAGTTCTTCCATATTAGTCCTTCGTCCTGGGTAAGACGTTAAACTATATCCACGTCCTGGGTAAGACGATAAACTACTTCCGGTAGCAAGGCCTCTGATCAGGAGGTTTTGAAGAGCATGGAACCACCGCTTAATTGCTGGTGTTCCCAGGTCCACCCTGATCCGGGGTGGTAGCACCTGTTAGGGTCCCAGCTATGGGAAAATAGTTAACTATTACCAGCAATACTTTTTGAAAAAAAATTATTACAAGCAATACAATTTTGAAGGAAATATATTACCAGAAACAGATTTTTGACAAAACAAAATATTACCAGCATTGTCGGCATTAAATAACACATTGACGTTCATATACCGTAAAGCAAAATAAACCAAGCCAATCTAAACCAAAGAATACATATTTTATTCATAAGAATCTATCCTAAAAATGTTGTCGGCATTAAATAACCTATGGAGGTTGATATGCCGTAAAACAAAATAAACCAAGCCAATCTAAACCAAAGAATACATATTCTATTCATCCGAATCTATCCTAAAATGTTGTCGGCATTAAACAATCCATTGAGGTTGATATACCGTAAATAAAATAATCCGAACCAAACCATATTAGTTCTTTGGTTGGTTGAATGGTTGGTTGATTTGGTTCAGCGGCATATCAACATCTATGGGGTATTTAATACCGAAATCTAAATATTTTGAAAAATGTTATGACTTCAGCTGAGTATATTTTGAACGCAGTTGTATGCCTTCAACGACTGATAAAAGGTATTGGTAAATTTGCTATGAAATGCTTTGCTGGTAATCCAACTACAAAATGTAACGTCGTTCCTTTTGGTATAAAAAGTTATTGTTGGTGGTTTTATTATAAAAATGTATCCTTATACTTATTTTCATGGTGTTTGGTCTTTGCAGTTCAATTTTTGCTCGTAACTGAAACCCAAACAGATGCTACCAACCCCGGTCAAGATAAACCTGGCAACAATAGCAAATAAAAGGTGGTGCCACGCTCCTAAAAACCGCCAATGAGGGACCTTGCTGCCGAAAGAGCAGACCTGGGAACAACAGCAATTAAGTTTCTTCACTTTCCTCGGCTTTTTTCACTAAAAAAAAGTGGCTGCTGATGAAAGCGAATTATATTACATCATTGGTTTCCCGAAGTCCTTAAAATAGATAGCTTCCTCTAACTGATCATTATTAATGTATAGTAATTTCAACCAAAACTAGAAGTCCTACAAGACCTTATTAATGGATATATAAATGTCAAAAAAAAAAAAAAAATGTCGGAAACATTTGTCATATATCATTCAGCCCCACCTGAAAAATATTTGAAAACGTTTCAGAAACTAAGTAAATGCAAGTATCTTGATATGAAGATCTGTAGAATGTGGCATCTGATGACATGACCTGTTTTTTATTGGGGCTTTGTGGGGGGGGATCAAAAGGGGAAACAAATAGGGACAAGTTTCTGATGGGAATAAAAAAAAGCGAGAAAATAAGGGAAGGAAAATCATGGACATGCATTCATTTCACACCATCTGTCTGTCCGTCTATCTACATCTCTCTTCGTCTATATCTGTCTCTCTCACTCTATCCGTCTGTCTATTTATCTGTTTCTCAGTCTATCTCTTTCTCTCTATCTATCTATTGCACCGACATAATAGGGCATTCAACCTCCCTCGGAAAGAGAATTAGTTGGCTCATAAACATAATATTATATATATATATATAATATATATATATATTATATATATATATATATATATATATATATATATATAATATATATATATATATATATATATATATATATATATATATATATATATATATATATATATATATATATATATATATATATATATATATATATATATATATATATATATATATATATATATATATATATATATATATATATATATATATATATATATATATATATATATATATATATATATATATATATATATATATATAATATATATATATATATATATTAAAGCGCTCCGAATAAAAGAACATTCGGACATATATTTATATAACTTATTATCTGAAAATATTTATTAGATCACGATATATTAGAAATTTTATAAAACTAAATAAAAAACAAATTTGTCCTGTCGTATTCAATGAAATGGGCATGAAAGAAGGATTGCTGCTATATATATATATATATATATATATATATATATATATATATATATATATATATATATATATATATATATATATATATATATATATATAGGGCTGCAAGTACATACATTGTTCAATATGTCGTACATTCAACCTCCCTCGCAGTATAGCTCACGTTCAACTCCTCGCAGTATGTCGTACATAAACATCCATAAGCTTTACAAAATGGAGAGGTTACCAACTCTTGGAATGTCGGCGTTCAGACTTACAGGATAATCAAAGCGAATAGACCGGATATAATTGGGAGAACTCATCATTGAAAACATATGATAGATGATGTAGCCACAGCTGGGAAAACGTTTCAGAAACTAAGTAAAAGCAAGGACCTTCAGATAGAAATCAACAGAACGTGGCATCTGATGACAGCAACGTGGCATATGATGACAGCAACGTAGCCTTTTTTTATTGGGGCTTTGAGAATGACATTAAAAGGGAAAAACAAACATGAGCAACAATGAAAAAAAGAATATGGTGGCTATGAAAAAAAGAAATAAATTAAGAGAAGGAAAATCATAATCATGGAGAGATTTCACATCCAAGATCTCTCCGGTTATTTATCAATGTCTTTCCATCTATGTATATCTCTCTTGATTTAAAAAGAACTGATCCGACGTGCAAATTTTCGGGATAACAGCTGCGACATTATTTATTAAACAATTTAGTTCATGCCACATTGACCGAAAAAACTCCAAATAAATAAATAAATAAATCCCAAATTACCATATTAGTAAAAAACGCACTCTCTTAAATTTTCAAAAATTCAACCTTAGCATTGCGACTGCACGCTCCATAAGTTCTTATCCGTTAACAATAACACATTTCTTAAAAGAAACATATTTCGATTCGCATTTAATCTTTCGTCTCCGATCCCCTACTGGATTTACTAAAAACAAAATAATTTCCATGCCTGAGGATGGCTGAATGTACAGCCGAAAGTACTAGCAGATTAAAAAAAAGACCTTATACAACTTGTAGTTATTAAAAACAAGGATCATAACATTCATCGATTGGTTCGTAGGTTAATGCAACTTTAAAATTGTTTGCGAAGATGTGCTTCGCCAGTTATATCATTAACTTTACTAATCTACTTTTGTATGAATGATTGATTCATATAATATAAATTGAACTGCACCGCATACTTGATATATATATATATATATATATATATATATATATATATATATATATATATATATATATAAAACATAGTCTTAATGTGTGCGATAGTTATAAGGTGCTCAATATCAGAGAGAGCGTGTGTAAATATAAAAGTGAACATTGAAGTCAACACTTAGAGGCGACAGTGTTTCATGCAAGACGCAATCATCAGGCTATATATATATATATATATAAAATGTGTGTGTGTGTGTGTAATAGAAAAGCTTAAAATGTCAACCAATCTCGCAACCCGGGTTTCGACCATGAGATGCTCATGCAAGTGTAATGATGTTCATGCCAAAGAAAACTACTCCAATATACCAGAACACCGGAAATGAGAGGGTAAGTATGAGGATGGGAGGGAGAGAGAGAGAAAATTACAAGTGATGAAAAGAGGGTAAAAATGAAAAGAAGAGGAAAAAATCTTTTTTTTTCGCTCATTCGGGTTTCATAGGTACCTAAAAGATATTTACTTAAATGTCTGCACTCCGACATAACCTCAGTTCTCTCATTTAGTAAGACACCTTTATCAGGATATGTGGCTATGCGCAATTTCTCTTCCTGGCACAGCCGGCAACAATTACCATGAATTCTGCCAGTTTTTACTCTCCTCTTAAATATCCTTGCTTTATATATTCGATTTTGAATTTTGTACTGAGCGCTCTTTTGTTGTCTATACCTTTTAGGTGCGGCTGTTTTCAGGCTTCTTTTTACAGTTCCTATATATATATATATATGTATATAAGTTTATCTTTATCTATTCGTCTGTCTCACCGATTATCTATCTCCACATCTATCTATCTCTGAAATGAAAATTGCATACATGTGTCTACTTTTCATCTTGCGTAATTTTTCCCTATGCAGTGATCAAAATTACTTACTTTTCTTTCAGATTTCATGGCACCTAGTCTGTTTGCATCTTGTCTTTTGAAGTTTCTGTTTCATTCTAGAACTAGCAAACCTACCAGAACTTATTTTCCACGGACAATCTTCAGAAAAGCTACGCGGACGTCGTGCTGATGATATATTCAGAAAGAAAACTGAAATATCAATTCGACAAGGAAAGAAAGATAGAAGAAAGGACTAGCTACTATCAGTAAGAATATGGTTATTAGTAAAAAAAAAAAAAAAAAAAAAAGTACATCAATACAGCTCGTTGTGGTGTAATGGATACCAGAATAAAGACTCGGAGATCAGAGTTCGAATTCCAGTCGAGTTCATTAGATTCATTTTATGTGCAAATACTCTTGGGAAAAGTATGAATACCTTTCTTCTCCCTCCAGCTATGGGTGGAATTGTAGGGCAGACTCGGTTTTGTAACCTTGGTTGGCAACCAGTCTACATCAGAAAGAAATGGCAACCTACTGCGGGAAAATCTTCCGCCAAGTCAGTCATCGCTAGAAAGAGGCATGATCGCATATGGCACTTAAGTAAAAGTTATATAGTTACAGAAAATTAACCATCTGGGTAGTACAGAAACAGACAATAGAAATATCACAGAAATCATAAAATGTTTTTCTGAAACTAAGCAAAGTACTATGGGACGAAAAAATGTCGTGAGAAACAAAGAAAAGAGTGGTGGACTGTTTTAATATCAGCCCTATGATATAGCAATAAATGCTGGACAATCTCCTCACTGATGAAGAAGAGACTTGAAGCAAGAGAAACAAAGAAAAGAGTACTGAACTGTTATGTAATATCAGTCCTCGTATATGGCAGTGAATGATGGACAATCTCCTCACAGATGAAGAAGAGACTTGAAGCAAGAGAAACAAAGAAAAGTGTACTGAACTGTTATGTAATATAAGTCCTCCTATATAGCAGTGAATGCTGGATAATTCCTAGGAAAATCTAAGAAAAATAGGCACTCCAGGGTTTGATATTTTTTTTTGTTTCTGCGATTCCTGAATTTATTCGGTACTCGCATTTACAGTCCATGTTATTCACAGGATCCGTCTGTAGAATCTGATTTCTGTTTCATCAAGTATCTTTTTCAACGGTAAAGAGATATTCCAGTATTTAGTGCCATATAGAAGGAATTATATTAACAGATCAGCATTCTTTTCTTTTTTTTTCGAACGAAAATTTTCTGCTTAATACTTTGCTTAGCTTTTGGAAGGCACATTTGGCGATTCCAAAACGCCTCCGGGTTTCGAGGCCACATTTTCCGTCCTCTGTTAGAACACTTTCCATGTATTTAAATGTTGTTACTTGCGTGATATCAATCTCAATGGGTTATTTAATGCCGACAAGATTTTTAGGGTAGGTTCGTATGAATAGAATATGTATTCCTTGTAAAAATCATTTACATTGACGTATTTTTTGTAAAGAGGTCTTTTTGTCAAGAGTCTGGTTTGATTTGGTTTATTTTGTTTTACGGCATATTAACACCTAAATGGGTTATTTAATGCCGACAAGATTTTTCGGATAGGTTCGTATAGAATATCTTAATTTTTTTTCAAGAATGTATTGTTGATATTTTTACTATAAAAATCTTTTTTTTATACTTTCATAGTGTTTTGACACTAGTTGGAGATTAACTATTTGTCCCGAGTCTGGGTGAACCTGACCTTGCTGCCGGATGTAATTTATCGTCATACTAAGGACCCCTCACAACCTTGTACCAAAGTCAAATATTTACGTGATGCTGGTCACGCTACTAACAGAGTTCTATCCTTATCGGATGCCGAATTCTTGTGACCTTGCAGCAATAATATTTGGTCATTTGGTAGATAAGTATGCCATTAGGCTTAAATATAGATATGTATATCGTGTGTTGTGGGTGGGAGGTGTTGGTATTTTTTTTCAGACTTCAAACGGTAAAAATAATCCGAATTCAGTAAAGAAAGCCTGTGGTGGAAATGTCAGCAACTCTTTCATTAGAAAACATGAAATTCGATGTGAAACGCTTAGTTCAGTCAAAAAGTCCAATTAGAGGCTTCGGTAGAAAAAATGATGTGCGCAAATCGGTGAAGACTTTAAAATTTTGGTTTTTGTCTTTTTTTTCTTTCTTTTTTTTAAATTTAAATTGCGTTGCGTTAAATAATGAGTTTCTTGTGGATGGCCTTGGCAGACTGGATTTATACAGTCTCTCTCACTTTGCCCTTTCTATCTCTCTCTCTCTTTCTTTGTTCTGTGTGTGTGTCTTTTTTTGCCCCCTTTGCTCTTTCTTCTCTCTTTCTCTCTCTTCTATGCTTTTTCTCTCTTTGATCTGACTTTCCTTGTTCCCTCTCTCTTTGTTCTCCCTCTGTTCTTTCTCTTTTCTTTTCTCTCTCTCACACTTTGTTCTCTCTCTCTCTGAACTCTTCCGGTGGATGCGCAGGTGGTGTAATGGATACGGTCTCAGAATGGGAAATTGGTGAACCGAGTTCGAATCCCATCTCTTTCATTTTTTGCTCTTTCTCCTGCTCTCTCTCTCTCTCTCTGCATTTGCTTTCTCTGTCTTAGATATCTCTCGCTCTCTTTGATATCTTTGATTCACTCACTCTCTATTTGATCTCACATCTTTCGCTTTCTCACTATCTCTTCCGGTGGATGTGCAGGTGGTGCAACGGATACAGGCTCAGAAGGGAAAATCGATGAGCCGTGTTCGAATTCCATTTAATTGCGTCGCATTCACCTATGCGATTGGTAAAGCTATGAAACCATCTCAACATTCAAGCTATGGGTTAAATAGTTCGACTTGTACCTCAAAATATTGTTAATGTAATAGACATTCACAAAATATATTCTTAAAATCCAAAATGTTTAGACTGACAGAAAATAAATTTTCACTCATATATATATATATATATATATATATATATATATATATATACAAGAATTAATCACACATAGAATTAATCCAAGTATCAATGCGATTATTGGCGACATCCGTCACTAGAAAAACATAATATATGCATTAAAATCCTGTTCATCCATATAGTGAGAGTTTGATCCTTGAAGAAAAACTTGTTGTCTGTAGTTTTTCAGTTTATTCGATGTTAAAATGCTAGTACTTACGGACGGTCTTCCATCCATCATCAGGCATGTGTTTTTTTTTCTTATAAAATTAAATTTTTCTTATATATCTTTCGCCATCATTTAGGGTATGTTCTTTTTCTCTCTCTCTCTATCTTTTCGGGGGATTTCTCTCTCACTCTGCTCCCTCTGATCTTTCTCATCATGATTTCGGGCCATCTCTCTCGACACCTTCGGGGGATTTCTCTCTTTTTATCTCTCTCTCTCTCTCTTCATCCTACAGGGTGAATTTTTTTTCGCTCTGTCTGTATCTCTATCACTTCGTCCTTTCGGATGATTTCTCTCTCTCTCTCGAGTGATTTACCTCTATCTTTTTACCTTTTTGGGTGATTCCCCCACCCTCTCTCTCACACGCACACACATTGACTCACTTCGGCTTTTCGGGCAATTTCTCTATCACTCAACCCATTCGGATGGTTTCTTTCGCTTCACTATTTCGAGTGTATTTCTCGAACACTTTAGGGCAATATTTCTCTCTCTCTAACCATTCAGGTGATATATATATATATTTCAGCGGTAACTTTCTGTTTCTGTCTTTCTCCCCATCTTTTCGGTCGGCTTTATACTTTAGGGTGATTTCACTCTCTCTCTCTCCATACTTTAGGGTGATTTTTTTTTCTCTCTCTCTCTATCCTACTCTCTCCACCTTAGGGTGATTTCTCTCTCTCTTATTCTCGCCCCCTTAGGGTGATTTTTTTCTCTCTATCGCTTACTCTCTCCCCCTTAGGGTGATTTTTTCTCTCTCTCACTCTCTCTCATATACTCTCTCTCCCTTAGGGTGATTTTCTCTCTCTCTCCCCCCTTGGGGTTATTTTTCTCTCTCCCCTTAGGCTATTTTCTCTCTCTCTCTCCCCTTAGGGTTATTTTCTCTCTCTCCCCTTAGGGTTATTTCTTTTCTCTCTCCCCTTAGGGTTATTTTCTCTCTCCCTCCCAGGGTTATTTTTCTTCTCTCTCTCTCTCTCTCTCCCCCTTAGGGTTATTTTTCTCTCTCTCTCTCTCCCCCCCTTAGGGTTATTTTTCTCTCTCTCTCTCTCCCCCTTAGGGTTATTTTTCTCTCTCTCTCTCTTTTTCTCTCTCTCTCTCTCCCCTTGGGTTATTTTCTCTCTCTCTCTCTCTCCCCCCTTAGGGTTATTTCTCTCTCTCTCTCTCTCTCTCTCCCCTTAAGGCTTTTCTCTCTCTCTCTCTCTCTCTCTCCCCCTTAGGGTTATTTTCTCTCTCTCTCCCCCTTAGGGTTATTTTTCTCTCTCTCTCTCTCTCTCCCTTAGGGTTATTTTTTTCTCTCTCTCTCTCTCTCTCTCCCCCTTAGGATTTTCTCTCTCTCTCCCCTTAGGAGTTATTTTCTCTCTCTCTCTCTCTCCCCCTTGGGTTATTTTTCTCTCTCTCTCTCCCCCCTCTAGGGTTATTTTCTCTCTCTCTCTCTCTCCCCCTCCCCCCTTAGGGTTATTTTTCTCTCTCTCTCTCCCCTCCCCCTTAGGGTTATTTTCTCTCTCTCTCTCTCTCTCCCTTTTTCTTATTTTTTCTCTCTCTCTCTCCCCCCTTAGGTTATTTTCTCTCTCTCTCCCCCCTTATTTTTTTTTCTCTCTCTCCCCTAGGGTTAGGGTTTTTTTCTCTCTCTCCCTAGGGTCTCTCTCTCTCTCTCCCCCTTAGGTTATTTTTCTCTCTTCTCTTTCTCCCCCTTAGGTTATTTTTTTCCCCTTAGGGTTATTTTTTTCTCTCTCTCCCCATTAGGGGTTTTTTCTCCCCCTTTTTATTTTTTCTCTTTCTCTCCCCCTTAGGTTATTTTTTTCTCTCGCTCTCTCTCTCTCTCCCCCTTAGGGTTATTTTTTCTCTCTCTCTCTCCCCTTAGGGTTATTTTTTTTCTCTCTCTCTCTCATTCTCTACAGGCCGGTAAATATCGTTAATACTTTTTATTATAAACAGAGCATTTACTTAAATATGTGTATCTATAAAAAGAACATATAAACATAAAAAAGAATGTCTTAAAATAATTTTCATAATATGCGACGTTATTTGTTTACATTTGGATACGCATCGAGCAGATATGAATGTACGAGAGAAAAATCATGGAGAATTGTAGTTTAAAAACAACAAGATCGAAAGTGGCTCAATCGGTAAAAGCACGTCAGCCTATATGACGGTTCCGTATAGGATACAGGTTCGATTCCTGTCAGGACGCATATTTCCTATGAAAATTTCTCGGACATTCAGGCCGGTAAATGTTGTTAATACTGTTTATTATAAACAGAGCATTTACTTAAACATTTGTATCTATAAGAACGTATAAATATAAAAAAATTTCTTAAAATATATATATATATATATATATATATATATATATATATAAACGTAAGCTGTCGGACAGTTGAAAGCTGAGAAGGGGTGAGGGAGAGGAATATAGGAGAGAGAGAGAGGGAGTAAGAGGATAAGTAGAGATGTCGGAAACAACGAAAGAATTAGCAAAGATTATATCTGAATTATTTTCTCATTGTGATGGAAGGATTAAGGACGGTCCTTTCTAAAAACAGACGTCCATGGACAATGAATATTGTTATTTTGTTCCCACACCAAATAAAAAGACCAAGGCCGCTTGACCACTAAGCCTCTTCATCTCTCACCCACCCGTAACTACCCACGGCACCTCCAGTCATTCAAGTTCGTCGAATGAGGTAACTGCCACTTGAGACCCAGCAATAAAGTAAACTTAACGATAAGCCGCCTAAAACATACCGATTAGCGACGACGTCTCTGAAATCAGTTCCTGAGGTCCGAGCTTTCGACCCGACCTCAAGCAGCCTAATACATTACTTGGTTTGTCTTCCATTTTTTCGCATAGGTAAACTTTTTGTTACGGGAATCATCATTATCATCATCCCACACACACACATATCTCTAAACTATGCGACTTTTCCAAAACGGCGGGTGATTGTCACACCGGGCCTGTCTGCATACCAGTAATAGTGTTTATATTAACCCGTTAGAACCCGTGAAAATTTCACGATGAGTCTTAATTCTTGAGTAAGCCCATGGCGAGTTCTACGTTCAATAAAATATTAGCAGACTTTCCCCTATTGCCTCGTTAAATATTTGAGCTTAACAACTTTAATAAAATATTGCAATAACAATCATAAATATGAATGCTGATCGTATATTTTAAGAAGTAAGGGGATACAAATAAAAAGATTTGAAATTAGCATGCCAACTTACAGAACAGATTTCTAGTGGATATAATCAACCTACTAGCAGTGAATTTTAATTCTTAAGTTGATTGAATAAGCTGATGGCAAGTTCTACAACAATAAAATGTCCGTAGAAATTCCCTTATCGCATCGTTAAATATTTGAGCTTAACAACTTTAACAAAATATTGCAATAACAATCATAAATATGAATGCTAATCGTATATTTTAAGAAGTAAGGGGGTACAAATGAAAAGATTTAAAATTAGCACGCCACCTCTCAGAGCAGACTTCGAGGAGATATAGTCAACCTACTAGCAGGGAATTTTAATTTTTAAGTTGATTGAATAATTTCATGGCGAGTTCTACGACAATAAAATATCCATAGAAATTCCCCTATAGCATCTTTAAATATTTGAGCTTAACTTTAACAAAATATTGCAATAACAATCAGAAATATGAATGAAGATCGTTATTTTAAGAAGTAAGGGGGTACAAATGAAAAGATTTGAAATTAGCAAGCCAACTCCCAGAACAGATTTCTAGTGGATATAGTCAACCTACTAGAAGGGAATTTTAATTCTTAAGTTGATTGAATTAGCTCAAGTCGAGTTCTACGACAGTAAAATATCCGTAGAAATTCTCCGATCGCATCGTTAAATATTTGAGCTTAACAACTTTAACAAAATATTGCGATAACAATCATCAATATGAATGCTGGTTGTTATTTTAAGAAACTGATAGTGAATAAAAAAAGAACGATCTTCAAAGAAAAAAAAATCGTAGTGTCTATAATTTGCTATATTTATGGGGGAAGAGTGCGGTATAGAAATCAACACGGCATGGTGACAGTCAGTTTCACATCTTAAGTGATCACCAGACCACAGCGGAAATGTGCACAATATCTGAAACAAAGTGCATTTAAATATAAACGGTGTTAACATGGGTGTAGTCACTGGATGCAACCAACGTCTTTATCTCCAAGGACACATGGCCCAGTGCATAAAGACGTTGGTTATATCCAGTGACTACACCCAAAGAGTTGTGAGTTCAATACCAGGCCACAGGTGTAATGAACCAAAACTTGGAGAGCGAGTTAAATGGAAATAACCGAGACATCCGGAAGAGGCATGGCACGTGGAACTAGAACAATCTACCCCCGGTGGACGAAATAAACGGTTTGGTTCGAAATTCCAATCAACTGAAGAAAACCGAAACGTTGTGAATATGGCAATAAAGATGAGGATAACAGTCCTAATAATGAAAATAATACAAGTAATCGTAATACCTCATCTCAGAGATATACCGATCACCTGAAGAAGGTCCGAGCGTACAACGGCCGAAACGTTGTCAATATGGCAATAAAGATGAGGATAACAGTCGTAATAATGTAATCATAATACCTCATATCAGAGATATAGACAGATATTGAAGGCTGGAGCGTACAGCGACCGAAACGTTGTCAATATGGCAATAAAGATGAGGATAACAGTCGTAATAATGTAATCATAATACCTCATCTCAGAGATATAGACAGATATTGGAGGCTGGAGCGTACAGCGACCGAAACGTTGTCAATATGGCAATAAAGATGAGGATAACAGTCGTAATAATGTAATCATAATACCTCATCTCAGAGATATAGACAGGTATTGAAGGCTGGAGCGTACAGCGACCGAAACGTTGTCAATATGGCAATAAAGATGAGGATAACAGTCGTAATAATGTAATCATAATACCTCATCTCCGAGATATAGACAGGTATTGAAGGCTGGAGCGTACCTGGGGCACCTTTTAGATTGGTTTTAATTTTGTAATAGCTATACGCAACCGTAAGTTCTATTCTAACAGTTTCTTCATTTGCACTTCTCACCGCTGGGAATCTCTCCCGATTTCTCGCATTCTTGTCAATTCGGATCTTCAAAAATTCAAATGCAACATCAATAGTCATGTTCTGTCTTTCTGGATCCTATTGATAATTTGTCTTATCTCCTCACGTTTTCTCATTTTGTTTTTTACACTCACTTAATTAGGCTGGTAATTTGGTCCCACCCTTTCACTGTCAAAACGGTTAAATGTAACCGTCACTTCTACTCAAACAGCTTCTTCTCTCTCACTTCCCGTCTGTGGAACTCCCTTCCCCTTACTTGCTTCCCCGGTGACTATAATCGTCAAATATTCATGTGTAATGTCAATCGACATCTGATACCGTCAACTTCTTCCCTGTCCCTCTCTGTATCCTTTCCCCAAACACGCCTCTTTACTCTTGTTCTCAATCCTCTGTAACCCCATGCATGCTAGTGGCACTCCCGCCTTGCCTGGGATGAATTGCTTTTAAAAAGAAAAAAAATATTTGTATCTATAAAAATAAGGTATAAACAGAAAATATATTTAAAATGAATGCTGGACTTAGTCCATTTCATCATACATACATAAAAACACAAACACACACAGACATATATATATATATATATATATATATATATAAGAAATATAATTTTAAGGTATGCTACATTTATGGGATAAAGTGATAAATATCAGAGATAGAGGGTATGTAACATAAAAGTGAACATAGAAGTCAACACTGACTATTGCGTCTAGCATGAAACAGCCTGTCGCCTCTGAGTGTTGACTTCAATGTTCACTTTTATATTTACACGCATATATACACACACACACATATAAATATAGGTTATAAAACACATGATGTATAAACATGTGTCTGTCGAAAAAATGTTACAGATACATCTGATTTTCATCAAAACCATGTTGGTACAGTGTAAACCCCTAACTAAAAGAGAGTTGTCGGGACCGAGAAGAAGTCTCTTATATCCGGTTTGGTCTATTTTATATACATTAACACAGGCTCTAATTTGGGACCAGAGAAAATCTCTCTTATATCCGGGTTTTTTTTATATCCGGGTTACACTCCGCTTGCGAATATCAATTTTTTTTCAGTCTGCATGTAAACGAATGTCACATATGGAGCCACCAGTTTTTTTCTTTAACCTTAGACTATTCAGAGGAAAAGATAAAACAAAGTCTGTTATTTAAAAAAAAAAAAAAAGCAAAAAATAACCCAAATATTATAGACGGACCGTACTTTATTCTTACGGTATAAATCGATTTTATCCACTGAAGATCAATAAATTTATCAGCACTCCATTTTCGTTTCATATTTGCGTTTTTTTTTTCTTATCTTGAAAGTGGTATTGTCTGAAATGGAACTATTTTTTTTTATCAGTTGTTGCATTTCCCGAGGATCAACGGCAGTGTGGGCTTTTTTTAGGTGAATTCAAAAAAAAGGAATCGACAAAAAAGAGTAAAGTTTGAGAGAAAGAGAGAAGGAGAGATCCGGAAAAAGAGAAAAGGAGAGAGAAAAAGGAAAGAGAGAAAGGAGAGAGAAAAGGAAAGAGAGAAAAGGAGAGAGAGAAAAGGAAAGAGAGAAAAGGAGAGAGAGAAAAGGAAAGAG